CTAGAAATTCTATATAATCCATCTTTCTAAAAATTTTGAAAACCGAATGTAAAAAATATCATATGAATGATTCTTTTAACATTGTATCGACGAATGAATGGTTTTGCATAATATCGTGTAGGAGTATATATAAAAAATAATTCTGTATATTACATGTTGTTGTTTAATTCATTGAGCAAAGACAATAACTCGAGAAAGCGAAGGTTAGACAATTCAACACGGTTACCGTTCACCTATTTGATGTATGTATGTATTTTCGTAATAAACATACTTAACCTTAAGACTTATTAACTATCATTGAGTAGACTTTTAGAGAATATTGTTGTATTAAACATGTTTGGCCTACTTTGAATGCTACACATAGATGTAACGTAACTTATGTTAGAGATCAAAGAATACAATATATACGATTAGACTCACATATCAATCAATAATTTATGGTCACCGAGTCTTGCCTAGCTAGTTGCCTTTTAACTCGATCGTAGTTTATGTTATACTTTTAAAAGTCTGTATAAATTATGACAAAATAATGAAAATATCATATCTAACAATAACACAAAAATAAAAGACTGTGATTATTTTATCTTCACAATCACACGTATTATATTCACTTTCACAAAGTTATATAGATCATCAAATAGATTGTGTATTTAAACACCAGTCGAAAAATTGCATATATAATATCAAAAACTATATATAAAAAAAAAATTGTTTTCTTCTAAAAGTGCATATATACATTTGAAGTTGTACGTAAACCCAAAAAACTTGTGTAATTAAATGAATTATGTTTAAGTGAATTTCAATAACATGAAAATATAAGAATTTCTGAAATTTTTTTTTTTTTTTGATAACCCAGTGTCCAGACCACACAGTGATCCGACTAGCCCACTGGGCCTAAGCCCGCGTGCCTGGGATTTTTAAGCCTCCACTTAAGGGCCCCCCGGAACTGGTGGTCTGGGACGCTGCGCCCCGCAGGTAAATTGCGCAGTGGCCAAGTGGAGATCTAGCAATTGCGCGCTTGCGGGGAATCGATCCCTGGCCTAGACCAACAGGGCAACTCCTCCACAAGTGACAACCACTAGACCAAGAACACTTGGTTAATTTCTGAAAATTTAAAATTTAATGATTAAATTTTTATACGTAGAGTTTTTTCTGATTATCACTGGACATCGTCTTATACGTAGAGATTTCTTCTGATTATATATGATTAGCTAAGTGAATGTGTACCATATCATCATTCACTCATCACTCTCTTTTGTTAATTGTGTTCTCTAAATTGGAGTTTTGAGTTTTAACCATTTAAATAAATATTGTATCTATAGAAAGTAGAAACGTGTGTAACGTCTAACACGATCCAAACTCCATGAAACGACTCTATCTAATTCATAGTCGTATCTTTTCAAACTCTTGATCTAGCCAAAATAAAATAAAATAATCTATTGACTTTCTACACTAATCCAAAGACACTATATATCGCATCTAATATAATTGTGAATGCCTAAAAAACGAGCTGATCATGCAAGAACTTTTCCTGTGTTTGGCGAACTCTTTTTTTTTTAATTTGGTGGTTTAGGCAGAAGTTCAGGTATGACTCTTTTTCGTTTTGGTGGATTGGGTTTTAATGGTTTTGTTCAAACCTAACAAATAGTTCAATTTTAAAAACACACCCTTATGTGAGGTTGAAAATGTAGTACATCTTTGTTTTTGTGAGACTCATAGGTTCATGTTGAATTCATCATGAACCTTAAACATATTTTTAAATTATTTTGAAACATTGGGACTATTATTTTATATTTTTTAGTCTTTTGAAATAATTAGTTATGTCGTGACGATTAATAACACTTCCAAAGTCATGGTAAGAATGCTACATATCTCTTCCTTGGTGCCAGTAAATAAATGCGAAAATTTCGGAGAATAAACAAATGTATATTATAAAAAAAACAAGAAGAAATTAATAAGTTTGTTACAGTAGAAATAAAAATGGGAAACGTCATCATCATCTTAAAATATCCCCATTGGTTGGCCTACCCATTTTTCAATATTCCATAAGTTTAAATCTAACCTTATCTTAGTTATCAATCTACTCTTCATAATTTTTATATTCATTACATAAATTAGTTTCTATATTATTATTATGATGTTTTTTTGTCACTTTCTAATCTGATGGTATATATGTATTTGTACGTATTATATCGTTTCATATTACATCTCTGACAACAAATATAGAAACGTACATGTAGATCAATAAGTTTGTTGCATAAGCATTCTCGAAGATGCTTTGAAATTTCAGGAATTTCAATAAATACAAAGTCAATAAACTTTAGAGTAAATATTTAAATATCACATATACATGTTCAAAGACGTAAGTACAATGGTATCGTCGAAGTTTTTATTGACCGATCACCATATCTTAAAATTCTGAATCCGGATAAAATGCAGAATCGGATACATAAAAATAAAAGTAAGTGTGGACCCTTGAAAAATAATAATAATAATAATAATATATATTATATGATTGCTTGCACACATGGATAAGAGAAAATTGAGTTTAGGGTTAGAGATCAGTGATCAGATCTGAATATTAAATTTAGCAAATCAGAAAAGGACTGAAGAAGACATAAAGGCTTTTGATAATGAAGGTCTTGTCCATACTTATAGTCATATATATATATATGTGAAAATGTAATAATAATAATGATATGATGGTTATATATATATATATTTTTTTTTTTCTTACACAAATACATATACTTCTTTACATCATCATTACCCTACCTGTTTTTTGCTTCTTTTTGTTTTTGGAGTTTTGTTGCTGTTTCTTTTGAAAATATTCCTATTATTCTGGTAATTCAGATTTGTGCAGACAAAACAAAGCACGTATATACATATTTGCTAATGCAAGCATTTTAAGAGAGTTACTTATTTAGTGAAGATTGGATCTTTTGATTAGTTGTAGTATTTAGAGAAGATAACCTAAAAATAGTTGAACCAAAGACAGACTTTTCTCATGCAATGTAACAATTTATTTCCAATAATACATTTGTTAATTTCTATCATAAAAGTGGGTGGTATATGTACGATGTTCATAATTTAGTGGTTGAATTCACAGCCAATAACATGGATAGAATTTCTTAATTTATTGTTTGCTATTGTTGGTGTTGTTGTCTCTATTATCAATTTATTACATTGTTTATTTTGTTTGTATATGTCTTTATAATTCAGACCCGTAAAGTATTAACTACTTAATTAAAGGTCCCTATTCTGACTACATATAATAATTGAATTATTGAACTGTTTCATGATTAATCTAAAACTTGTGAGTCTTTTACATTTAAAATATATGATTGGGTCCATTTGCTTCTATTATAATAGAAATGGGACCATTGGTTTAAGTGATGCAAACAGTAGAAGGGAAGATATGATCAAATCCTCCAATATTATTTGATTTTACATTAATTTAATAGAAACTATATAAAAACTATGTTCTCTAACTCTAGTAGACTAATTCAGAGAATTATACTTGACAATTCAGAGAATTATACTTGAAAAATTCAATAATGTTGATATGTTTCTCATTAGTGTCGGAGTGTAAAATTGGTGTTGCAAGATAGTTAAATCATTCTTTGAGTGTGTTTCACGGTTTAGTTTCGGAATGTGACATTTAGAACATAGAAAAGATTGGTCAGAAGACCCCAAAACTTTCCGAAAGACATTAAAATAGAAATTTATAAATTTGTATCTAAATTCTAAAATAGAGGTATTCTTCAAAAAGAGCATATAATTGTTTTGGTTTTACAAAGTATACACAAATTATTGGTTGTTTTTGTAACTTATCGCACCAATAACAACATCAAAAAGCTGTATATATTATTGACTATAATTCTATGTTGGAGTCTTGGAGATGTTGTGGTGGGCTTAAAACCTGCTGGCCTAAATGGGCCCAACACTAGAAAATAAGCCCGTCATCGGTAGAACGTAGAATACCGAGTTTTAAGGTAGATTACAACTTTAAAAGCAAAGAAGGCATCAATATATAAGTGTGTAATATGTGTGAAAATTGACGAGAAAAGGCAAAAAGGACAAGAACATGTAAAGGCATTGAGTTTGTTATGTTTTATGGTATAATCTCAATATGTGATTTCTTTAATACGATAGATTATCAGAGTCTTTTAAGAAGTTTTCATAAACTTTTTGATAACCAAAGTGTATAAGAAGTTTTCATAAACTTCCTAAACACGTTTCTAAATCAAGTCTCTTATACGACGGCGTCATGTACCGGCACTCTTCTGTCCCCGCCTCAAAACCCCGTTTCGGGTTTTTAATTAAATGGGAATCGATTAGAAACGATATAAACTCATCTTTCAGAGATACGTGATCGCGGAAAATCACGTTGAGTTGTTCAATCAATGTCACAATATCACCGCCAGACACCAACTGATTTAGAAACACACCATGTAAACCCTTCCCTGAAGCTTCCACTTTGTTCAAGAACTCAACCGTGCGTTCTATGTCTGATTTTGCTGAGTTACAATTCTTCTCTGTGATAGGTACATCCAATAGAAGCAGATAGAATTCTTGGAGCAAAACGTCGTGATTACGAAGAATGGAAGCGACTTCGGTTTTGAGATTGATGTAGCTTAAAGACTTCATTGCATTTAAAAATTTATCCAAGATTGTCCTATTATCCAACTCTTTCACTTTTTTCATGAACTCGCAACTTCGTTGAATCTCTTCTTCCCAACAATCCGACGGAGTTTGATAAAAATCTTTCTCCTGATTCTTCATCCGAGGTCTCTTGCAACTTAAATGTTTGTTCAATATCTTCTCTAACTAATGGAAGGCGATTCTAATTGTGATTAAGAAGAGTGGTAAACACTGTATTTATAATCTATTAGGATATTTATTCTAACTCCTAATCCGATTTGGGGGTTTAAGAGAATTTTTTTTTTGTATTTTGTTTAAAGCCTAAAAACTAAATGACATAGAATCGAATTATTAGAATAAGATTACTGATATTATTGAAAACCAAAAACAAACAGTACACTACAAACAAAGCTTACACATTCGTGGCACACGTCCACTGTTGTTAACAAACCGAAGATGACGATGCCTCTGGATTCTAATGTAAGAGTAGTCTAAAAACAGCAACAAAGTAGGAAACAAGACTTTGCGGGATTGCGAAATTGTAAAAAAGGGAGAAATTACGGGACGTTCATCACCTGGATTGATTGCAACATGTCCGAGACTGCGATCACGAGGTCACCAGATTTTATCATGCCTCTTGATTTCAGTAACGAGAATGTTTTGTTCAAGTTGCTTTCCATGTCGTCTGAGAAGCTGAGACGGAATGGGATAAGTCCCCATTGTAGGTTTAAGCGTCTTCTCACCGAGGTTGTGGTTGTGAAAGCAAAGATTGGACAGTCTGGGCGACATCGGGAGACCAATGACGCCATGTGTCCGCTTGTTGTGTAGACGAAAACCGCGTCCACTCCAAGATTGTTAGCTGCAAGTTTTTGGATTATAGGATGAGAAACTAAAGACAGATTGCTTTTGAGGAAAACAAAGAACCTGAATTATTTACCCATTTTAGCAGCAGAGTTACAGATCTCTTCTGAGATTTTGTCTGAAAATGTAGAGCCTATGGCTTGAAGTGGCACAGACTCATGGCGTTTCTCTTCTCTCCACCATCTCTCGATTCTTAAACTGACAGTCCTTAGAACCGTGAGCGCCTTGTCTGGGAATTGACCCATAGCTGATTCTCCAGAGAGCATCAATGCGTCTGATCTTTGTCTCACTGCTTCAGACACGTCGGCGACTTCTGCTCTGGTTGGAGTTGGGTACTCAATCATGGACTCAAGTAGCTGTGAAGCGACAATGACAGGTTTGTTCAGCCCTCTGCAGACTTGCACGATTCTCTGTTGAGCTGCTGGAACTTGCTCAAGAGGTATCTGAGCTCCCAGATCTCCTCTTGCAACCATGGCTCCATCTGATGCTAGAATAATTTCTTCCAAATTGGTCAATGAATCGATACTCTCGATCTTTGCAATCACTCCAATTTCCCTGCATCACCAATGGATACAACATCAAAACAAAACTTTAACTAAATATGGTGAATACATGCCGCAAAAACCCAATCCTATAATAGCTTGACCACCTAAGTAGATCATATTTTTCTTATACAGTAGTATGATATGTTGATATTAAGCATGTTTACTTACCCTCCACGGGAACGAGCAGCAAGATAACTTTTCAGGTGATTAATTACTTCAGCTGACTTGACAAACGATACAGCAATGAAATCCACACCTTCAGCAATTCCAAAATCAATATCCAACCAATCCTGAATATAAAGAATTGAGGTATCATCAGTGAAAATGAGTATGCTTTCCCTCAGGGAGATATTCTATATGTTTTAATTTCAGAGTAAGCACATTATTCCTCGTTCAGCATTAATATAGGAGATAAAATAAAGACTTCGCATATAAAATCAACACTCTTAGATTCACATGGACACTAGTTTGATAGAGAAAGAACTGCTATTGTGATATAGCTACTTGTCTCTTTTGTGGTTTCTTTACTTTATTTATCCTCTGTTTTGCTAGCATGGACTCATCTAGGTTCCATAAATGTGCATCTTCACATTACTTTAATCACTCCCAAATTTACCAAACAAAGTAAATCATAACTCAAAGCTTAAAGGGAAGATAAAAAATTACAAACCTTGGAAGAAATAGTTGGAAGCATGGCATTACGCTCTCGTACAAGACTTCCATCTCTCCAAAACGTCAAGTTAGCTCGAGGAAGCAACAATCCGGGATCGGTACATAGACACTTAACATCAGGACCAATCTTCTCAATCACTTCAAATCTCACCATCCCACCATCAACTAGAAGTTCATCCCCAACTCTTACATCTACACCACAAACAAAAACCAATTGATTCCTATTTATCTAAAATTCTACACTTCCACTTTTCCATAAACAAAATTGCATATACCTTCAGCGAAACCATCGTAGCTCACACTAATGGTACGTTCAGGACGAGAAGAATCAAAAGCTCTAACAGTGAAAGTCCAAATCTCACCATCCTGTAAAAATGTCATCACCAAAGTATAAACATCTCAATCAGGATCTCAATTACACACAACAATGTCGAAATCGAAGTCGAATCGAAGTAAGAAGAGATTAAACAACCTCTGCTTTAGCTGAAGATTCACCACCAAGATCTCCCATATGAATCTCACTACCTTCAGTATCCATCATAATAGCAACCGCAAAGCCTTTCTCCTCATTAAGCCTCCGAACACTACGAATAACACCGCGGTGCCAATCGCGAGTACCGTGACACATATTAAGCCGCGCCACGTTCATACCTCCCACAGCAAGCGCCTCAAGCTGCTCAAATCCACACGTAGCCGGTCCGATCGTACAAATCAGCTTCGTCCTTCTCGTACTTCTAAATCCATTCTCCTTAAGCTCAGCTTCCGTCACAGTATCAACCTCAATCCCAGCGGTATCCGTCGTAACCGCCGTAACCGCAACGGATCTCTCATCAGACTTCACAGCACCAGTACCGTTAGGAGAAAGAAGTACCTGCGACGACGACGATGATGATGAATCAAGATCCGGTGAAGGAGACGGAGAAGAAGAGGCTCTGATGGAAGTGTATTTGATGGTTGTTAGAGGGAAGCGACGGAAGGCGATAGAGGAGAGAGGACGGTTGAATTGTGAGTGAGGGAGATTGAGAAGATGAGGAGTGCGTGAAGGAGTGGAGAATTGGATAGACTGAGACATAGTTTCGCCGGCGCCGGAGGGAGAGAGATCGGAGAAATCGAAGTCGAAGGACAGTTGGCTCAGAGGAGAAGAAGGCGGAGATATCGAAGTGTGAGAGTGTTTTTTTTGAGTTTGGATTTTGATTTTTGAGATGATAGGAATTTGGGAAGGGTTAATATTAGGAATATTTATATTTTTTTCCGATGTTTTGGTGCCGTCGAGGCTGTATGTAAAATAAGTGTACCTACCCACCTAAGACTAAGAGTGATCAAATTAGATTTTGTGATTTTTTTTTTTAATGAAAATAGAAAAGAAAAACCTAACTTTTAAAGAAAATTAGCAAGAATAACCCATAAAACCATCTATGATTTGTTCAATGACCATATAACTATGATAGTGTCTAGAAAATCCTTTAGATTTTTCTAAAATGTTTATATAATTTTTTTTTTGGTGAAATCATCATAGACAATCACAAAAATAAGGTTTGTTACCAAAATTAACACAAATTTAATATTAAAATTTTTGGGGTCTATGATGATTACATGACGCTCGAGCTATGAAATGGGTTTGTTCACTGGGTTTGTTCACTGGCGACCAGAGACTCAAATGGTACATCCATCTCTCTTCTATAATCAGTTTCAGGTTTTTTCCCTTTTAATAACATACATAGCTTCTTGTTTATAGGTACCTACCGAACAATTGAGGAATGCTTCATGGTACCACATTATGAATGGTATATGAGTTCAACGAGATCATATTCTTTGTGCGTCATTCACGACCTCCGATTTAGTTAGCGCAGGCCGGTTGCTCTCTGGATGGGACTTACAACATCATCATTACTCGGTTTGGTATCTCTGCAGAGGTATGGAACCTCTTCGCCTTGGGACTGAAGCCGCATATCCTCATATGTGCTACGCAAATCATACGATAGACGCCTTGCATTTCATGCAAGATAATGGTATTTTGAGAGCACTTCCAATTGAAGGAGACTCGTGTCTGTGCAGGGAACCGTTCCCTTTATTCCCTACTCCGACACCGTTCCATTTCTTCCCTACTCATCTGATTGACTCTAGGATTAGAGAGGTTGTACCTATTGGTACACTAGCGGAGGCTTTAAGTTTTCCTCATCATATGCCAACAGCAGTGTTAAGATCCATAAGAACACCTACATAGCACTTTGTGTTCAACATGATATCCTTACTAAGGATTGCAAAAAGCGAATGTAATCTATTTTTCTATTCTTCATCATTCTCGTACATATAAAGTACGTAGTAACAACTAATGAATGACGTTTAAAATTCTGACAACAAATAAATGACTGTTAAGAGTAAGGCAGTAAAATACTAACTAAGACCACAACAACAATATTCGACTCAAAGCAATGTCACAATTTTTTGTGAAGCTTAATTATCTAAATATTGGTATATAATTATTTTAATTGAAAACAATATCAATTTCGAGAGCTAGGATATTTTTACCCTTATTTACCAGCTTTAAGCATAGATAACATTGTTGTTAGTTTATTAAAAAAAATTTCGATAGAATATATAGTGTACCATGTAAACACTCATTAATGAAAAAAAAACTTGCACGGAAAATTAACAAAAGTGACTGACTATGGAAGTTAAAATCGAACACTTTTTTAAAAAAATATAAGTAACTAAACATGCTTTTTTAAAGGAATAAAATGATTTTACAAAAGAGAGGTATCATTGAAACAATTGGAAAAAAATAGAGGTTTTCGTAATCATTTTTCGAAGCAAAACATAACACATTTAGCAAAATTTATAGATTTGTTTGAATTTTAAGAAGACAATTTTCCAAATACCAAAAAACTTCAATATTACTAAATGGCAACATTGTAAAGAAAAAAAATGATCAACTTTTGACAAGTTTCGACAAATTTGTTATTTTTCTGTAACAAGTCGTGTGTTAACATTTTTGTTACCAAATAAGGAACAATTTTTGTGTAACATATTACCAAATAATTAAGGACCAGATTTTAAAATTTTAAGTGTCATCCAAAAAATCTGGTTTGTTTACTGGTTCGATTAAGAACAATACTTACAAGAAATTAGACACGACGAGCTCATCAAACTCAATCCCTTGTAAATGATTTTGTACCTGTCTTATTAGGCCGAGAGACGTTACTGTGGGTCAACCAAATGTAAAACTTTTTTAACTTAAATATATTGAAAGGCCCTAAGCCACTGCTTGGCCCATTTGAGTTTATAAGTGAAGTATATTTTTTTTTTTTGGTTTAAAAACAAATTCGTTTTATTAAAGGGGCATTTAGCTCAATAACCAATTTGGATAAAAGAATTAAGAATATAGCACCATAATTCAAACAACTAAGAAACTAACATAAAAGATGGGTAAAATTACATTTTTGGTGTTCGTTTAGAGGAGGAGAGGAAGAGAAGCGCTGACACATGTGGTGAGTTGGCATGAGAGAGAAATTCAATTTATTTATTTTATTTATTATTTTCTTTTCACCCCTTCTAAAGTTTAACTCATATTTATGTGTATAGATATTAATTTAAGTTCATGATTCTTTAAAAATAAAAAACTAGCTTTTTTTCTGTATAGAACATGATTTGAATTTTTTAAATCAGATAAAAACTTATGAAGAAATTAAAAAAGTATTCTAAATTCAATATTTTTGATTAAAAAGATCACATAATACGAATAAAAAACGTTATAGAATGAAATGACTCATAAATCTTAGAAATTTTGTGTTAAACGCAAAAAAACATTATACCTTATAACATACAACATAAGGAACCCAAACGATCATGTTAAACGCACGAAAAAATGAACGATATACTTTAAAAAATGCAACATAGAAAACTCAATATATTGAGTTAAACACATGCCAAATAAAGAAAGATATACCCTAAAAGATACAACATAAGGAACCCAAACTATCGAGTTAAACGCACATTAAAATTAGATTATACAAATTTGGCATAAATAAAATAGTATAGAACCAAATAAAATAGTATGGAATGAGGCACCATGATAACGGTTTCAGCTACAGTGATAACGATGGTAATGGTAGCAGTAGCGATGGTGTTTATGGTGGTGGTGATGGTGATGGTGATAGTTGTAGTATAGCGATGAAGGTGGTGGTGACGATGACGGTGACGGTGGTGGTGGTAACGGTAGCGGTGGTGGTGGTGGTGGTGAAAAGTGCAGGGGTAGTAATACCGGTGACAATAACGGTGGTAATAGTGACGATAACTGTAAGAGATAAAATATAGACAACCCAAATGACCAAATTAAACGCATTTCAAAAAAAAATATTAAACCCTATAAGATACAACATTGGCAACCCAAGCAACTTAGGTAAACCAGAGCGGTGATATTGAAGGTAGCAATGGTGGTGGTGGTAGAAGTGATGGTGTAGTAATATTGAAGATAATTATATTATGGATCCCATATAGTTTATATTATATTATTATATATATATATATATATATATAGAAGTGATGGTGTAGTAATATAGAAGATAGTTACATTATGGATCTCATATAGTTTATATTATATTATTATATATATATATATATATATATGTTACGTTAGAAAAGAAGAAGAAAGAGAGGCAAGGATTAATAAAAAAAAAAAAAAAAAAAATAGAGAGGAGAAAGGAGCACTGTGTGTTATGGCAATAAGGACAAACATGTCATTATTATATGAAATACAAAGAATATTGATGGTCCATGGTTAGAATGGTTATTCCCTTAATTTTAATTTTTTTTTTGGTTATAGCCTCCAATTCCCCTTTATTAAATGTTATTTTTTTTTATTTAGATCATCATATTTACAGTTTTGACATTGTTTCCCGCATACTTTTCTTCTTCTTCTTCTCTCCACCCATCTGCTTAAAGGAAGGAACCTCAAAAGCTTACCAAAAGTAGAAGAAGAACTTTTTTGATCTCCGATTCTTGCCTCCGCCATCGCCAGATTATAGCTGAATCAAGGTCTGATCACAAATTTCCCGATTTGTATTTATATATCATTTAGATTGGTGTAAAACTTGATCGAATCTGGGATCGCTGTATACTAAATCTGATCTGGGCTTCTCTGATTCGAATTCTAATTCACTAAATTGTAAAATTCTGACTTGGGTTTGTTTGAAGATTCAATTTTGATGATTTGTCTATAGGGTTTCTTGATTTTACTCTGTTTGTAGAACAATTTCATCGTAAAGTAATGATTTTTTTTCTTTGATTAGGATCTTGTTTTGGATATAAACCGGAGAGAGAGATGGGAGCATTCATGTCGAGGTTTTGGTTCATGATGTTTCCTGCAAAAGAGTATAAGATTGTTGTTGTTGGTTTGGATAATGCTGGTAAAACGACGACGCTTTATAAACTTCACTTGGGTGAAGTTGTTACTACTCATCCTACTGTTGGTAGCAATGTTGAAGAGCTTGTCTACAAGAATATCCGCTTCGAGGTACCGACACTTTCTTTAATTCGAAGCCATGTTTCTTAGGTTCTTTTCGAGGTTTGATCTTAGGACATGGAGATATGAGTTTGAATCTTTTATTCAATGTTTCTTGGCTATGGGATTCATGTTTCCTAGGTTCTATTCAATATTTGATCTTTGGACATGAGAATAGAAGTTTGAACCTATATGGATGTTTTGTAAAAATTTGCAATCTTTTGTTGAGTTATCGTCTTTAGTTTGGTTGCTTGAATGGTTGCATTTTTTCGTTGCAAAATGGTTGTTTTGTCTAAGTTCTTGTCAGGATTGGTCGACATGGTGGCTCATAATGTTTTTCATATGTGCAATACTTGCGATTTATAGCAAATTTCTGAAGATGCTGTTTTGCTACGTCCTACTAGCTTAGTATTTATGCCAGAGGATTGTTTCATACGTCCTCTTTTATACAGTGGTCAAAGTCATGGCCAGAGATAAAACCACCTCTGTTTTATGACAATCTGCATGTGTTCTTATATGTCAGAACCAAATGATGCATATAAATGGTACTAAACTTATAAATCGAACTTTTGTTTGTCACATAAAGCTTTGAATCCGTTCCTGTCAAAAATTAACTGTTTGACGCTTGAATATATTCAGCTTTGAGTTTTGCAAATTGAAGATTTGATGCGATGTTACTTATGATATGGTTGTCTTTAGGTTTGGGATCTTGGTGGGCAAGATAGGCTAAGAACTTCATGGGCAACATACTATCGTGGAACACATGCTGTGATTGTGGTTATCGATAGCACAGACAGAGCCAGAATCTCTTTCATGAAAGATGAGCTCGCCAGGATACTTGGTCACGAGGATCTTCAAAACTCGGTCATTCTTGTGTTTGCAAACAAACAGGATCTGAAAGACGCGATGACTCCTGCTGAGATCACGGATGCACTTAACCTTCACAGTATTAAGAACCATGATTGGCATATTCAAGCAAGTTGTGCAGTTACTGGAGAAGGATTGTACGATGGGCTTGGTTGGATTGCCCAAAAAGTTACCGGTAAAGCCACGAGTTAAGGGAAATCGGAGAGCGTACTATTCTTCTTTGTGTCTTTTGTCTGCTTCAGCTGTTCTTTAACATTGTATCCTCTGACTTTTATGTAACAAGGTTCAACTATTTTGGTTGCTTTCATTGAAACTGTGTCCAGAATTTCATATATGAAAGAAAAGAATCTTGTTTTATTTCAGATTTTAAACTAACACCAGATTCAAAAATCCAAACGAACTAAAAACAAAAACAGACCAAACATTATAACAACACAAGCCACCATTGTAGACTCTCTCAGAACTCACCGCAGTCTGCGATAACCACGGGCTTGGAAGGAATCCTGTAAGGTGTAGACATGTAAGGTGTAGACATGTCATGTTTTCAGAGGAAACATGTTCTTCTTCATCTCGTGCCACATCAGTTTGCAACAACAACAACGATGATGATGTTACGGACCAAAGTAAAAACAATACAATAACAACACAAACTGGAAGGCGTTATTTCTAGGCATTAAGCAAAGCAAACTCGAGCAAAATATATAGAAGCCAACAAGGAAACATATTTCATGAACAGAGCCACAGAGGCTTTTTTATTTAGCAGCCAACAAGAGAAGTTAACTCATCAACCTCTGCTTTGATTTCTCCAATGAGTTCTTCTTTGTACTCTTCAAACGTGCCTCGGAAGAAAGTCACTGTCCCGTCTTCCACAAGCCAAATTTCACTCTTCTCCTCGTCCTCACAGACACGGCTTATGAGTCTCGAGTCGTGGCTGACCAACACAACTCCTCCTTTGAACTCATCTAGTGCATCCGCCAAGGCATCTATCGTCTGCATGTCGAGGTGATTTGTTGGCTCGTCAAGAAGCAAAATGTGTGGCTTCGACATTGAGATTGAGGTTAACACAACCCTAGCCTTTTGTCCTCCAGACAATTTCGCAGTTGGAGTTGAATGGTTTTCACCTGTTAGCCCAAACTTGCCCAGTTTTGCACGCACCGCCTCTTGTTTGCTACATCCCTCTTGGTCAGGATACAGACGAAGAAGATACTCAACCGGTGTTTCCCACATTGATAACTGATCAACAAAATGCTGCGAATACCTGCCGATCCTCAGCTTCTGGCTTCTTCTCACTTCACCCTCACTCGGAACTAAATCTCCCGCAATAAGATTCAAAAGAGTCGACTTTCCAGCTCCGTTCGGCCCAACTATCGCTACTCGTGTCCCCATATCTATACCTAAATCCACATTTGAGAGCCTGAATCTTGACTTGTTTGGGTAGCAGAAGCTAACCTCAATCAACTGCAGAAGAGGACGAGCGAGCTCAGTTGGTTCTGGAAAATCCAGCACCACCTTATAATCACTCCACTTCCTTGGAGCTTCTGGTTGTTGTCCCTCCTCATCCATCGCCTTACACTTTGCCTTACGCTTGGCCCATGCCTTTACCTTGTCCTGTTCTACCCTGTTTCCAGACCTCTTAGCTGCTTCCATCCGTTTCTGGAAAATCTCAGACTTTTTGTTCATCTCCTTACGTCGTTGAAGATATCCGGTTTCGTAAGCATCGTAATTACCACGATACAAGTGGAGACTCTTGTGATGCAAATGTATTATATCAGTGCAGACAGCGTTGAGGAAGTCCACTCCATGTGAAACAACAACGAGCGTATTCTTCCACCGGCATAGATACTCCTCTAACCATAAAACAGCTCTCAGGTCAAGATGGTTGGTGGGTTCATCTAACAACAAAAGACTAGGTCGCACAAAGAGAGCTCTGGCTAATGATATTCGCATCCTCCAGCCACCACTGAGTAACTTAGTTTCACCCGCTATCATATCTTCTGTGAAACCTAAACCCGCAAGAATTTTGGAAGCCTGCGCTTCAGCAGCATCTGACCCCAACATATGTAGCCTCTCATACAATTCAGCAAGCTTTTCCCCATTATCACCACCACCACCAGCATCATCGTTCTCCAGAGCTGCAGCTTCTTCCCTTAACTTGAACAGTTCTTGATTAGCAGAAACAACTGTTTCAAGAGCACTCTTTCCATCACCAACCACCTCTTGCTCAACAAGAAGAATGTCAATATTCTTCGGAACTGGAATCTTCCTCCATGCCAAAAGCTTGAGCAGTGTTGACTTACCCTTTCCATTTGGACCCACCAATCCATACCTTTTCCCATGTGATATCATGAGAGAAGCATTCCTCAGAAGCTCTTTCCCTCGAACAGAGACAGAAAACGAACTCATCTTAATATCTTTGACATTCGCATCTCCTGTTTCTTCTCCATCAAGCAACGATCCCATAACAACCGTGAATGCATCATGGTCTTCCTTCAAGGCCTCCCTCTTTCCTATCTCTGCAGCCATGTGAGCGGACCGTTCTTTAATCTTTTCCTTCATTTGTTTCTTTTGACTCACAGAGATATCCAGTTGCTTTTCATTTGCATGCATCTTTCTCTGTTTCTCATCAGAAACGCCTAGGTCTTCTTCGTCTTCTTGATCATGATTAGCAGGATAATCTACGTCATCAGTGTAGGACGAAACTTTTAGAGCTCTGGACGATGAGCCCTTATTGATCTTTGTTTTATCATCTTTAATCTTATCCATGCTTGCAAGAATGGCTACCACGGAAAATTTCTCCTTCTTCCCATTCCTCATAGCAACTATCTCGCCTGACTTCTTCTTACCCATTTAGTTATAGTAGCTTTGTGCGAGAGAGAGAGAGATAGAGATAGTGTTGAAGATTGATGATCTCTTGATTAAACCTAAATCTGGAATCGATAAGTTAAAAAGAAGAAGAAGCAACAATTGTGTCGTGTGTGTGTGTTTTAGGGCTAACGAGAATATAAAATAATAATGGGTTTGTAACTAAAGGCTACTATTGGGCCCTGTTGTAGTTAAGCCCAAACCTGTTTTGTGTTGATAAACTAATGGGCTATTTAATGGACACACAATAATATCAATAGATTTTATCTGCACAAATGAATCATTTTTTGCCAATTACATCAATTTCACTGCCGTAAAACACACAAACTCACTCTTCTAGAAGAAGTAGAGACAAAAAAAAAATTAAGAGAGGGAAATGAAGATCAAAGAATGGAGCAGCCACATCGTTTTGCTTCTTTAGGGCCTTCGAACCATTGATCCCATGTGTCATTCACCGGACCTGTTGTTCTGCAAGTAGTCACAAAAGCTTTCAAATTAGAACAAATCATCTCACAGTAGATAGAAATGAAACTATCAGAAAACAGAAGTAGAATTACTCGGGAAGAAGAGGATCGGGTTTGCTCTCAACACTGTCTAAGAACCTGCAAGCATCCATTCGAGAAACGAGTCAAGATTGTGTAATGATGATTATTCGTGAACCGGATATCATTTATGCAACAAGTTCTTACTCTTTGCATGACGCTGATGCATTGTCCATCTTTTCAAGCTGCTCCAGCTCTTCCTGAATATAATTGAAGGAAGAAAGTTATACCTTGTGAGTTTTAAGCAAGTATTTGGTTTCACAAATGTTTAAACAGCTCTGTGGACAAGAGCTTAAACACCCGACGGCTCAAGATATTACATAACCTGAAAACGATTTTGCATTAGATATTTACTAACTGTATTCTACATTTTAGTTTCACTCATCACCATTCTTGAACCTTCCGAATCTCTAGTTACTGACCCTGATGTATTGTTCTATCAAGAGAAGCACATTGATCTATTCTCTAACGTCTTGAATAACATTTAGCATCACAAAAACTATCTAAAAGAAGACTGCTTCAACACTACATTTCTTTTAAGTGAGATTGCTCAATTCTAAGGTCCATCTTCCACTATCTTTTGAACTCCATATGAACACTATGGACGAGCTCACTCATAAACCCTATATACTTCAGAAGGTATTATACAAACAAAGTCACATTTCACCACATCACATGAACAAATGGTACATTATTTTGCTCAATCAATCCTTTGTAATCTGAGATCCAATTGTTAAGCTTCTGAAGTATTATACAAAAGTAACTAAATCAAAGACACTACTAACTGAGAGAAAGCAACACACCTGAAGTGTTTGTTATACAATAGGAACTACATCAAAGACACTACTAACTCAGGGAACACAACCCACAAAACCAACTTCCACAAAATCAAACTAACCAAAACTGTTTTCTTTATCCCACTCATTGAATCACAACAACAACAACAACAACAAAAACTAATCAGATAGATTCCCTTAATCTAAGATCCAATTAAGCATATAAAAACGAACTAGATCAAGAGACAAGTACTACTAACTCACTAAAAGCAACCCCACAATACCAACTGTTACAAAATCAAAATAACAAAACTATTCAGTCATTAATTCCGTTAACAGCTACTCAATTCCCAAAACTAAAAAAAGTTTCAAACTTTCATATTCTCTACCGTACTCCACTCAGCTTTATACAATTCCATCCAAAAAGAGCCAAGTACAAAAACAAAAGATTGATCCAATCTGGATTATATGATATAATAATCAGCCAAAAGGCCAAGCAAGTGGAAACAAGAACAGGGTTTAAGAGGAGAGTAATAATATACCTCTAAGAATCGAGCTTCTTGTTCAAGCCTTTTGAGTTCAGCTTGAATCCTATGTTTGCCTCTTGTATCAACGACCCGCCCGGATAGCTGACCCGACGAATTGGAGCTACCCGCTTCCATCAAAATTTCTCGATTTCAAACCCCAAAAATAAAAATCAAAACTTTAACAAAAACAGAGAAGAAACACAATTTTACTCAGACCAAAAAGATCGCCATTTTGAATATGGAGGACTCATAAACCTTCACAAAACCCCATTTTTACTGGTTTGATACAAATATTACAAGGATTCAGAATCAAACAGATCTCGAGAATTCAACCAAACAGAGAGAATTGATGTAATTTTCTGAGAGAGATAATAGAAAATTCAAGTATATGAGAGTTGGGGAGACTTGAATAAAAGAGAGCTTTTCCGATGATCGAAAGGGGAGAGATAAAGAATAAAAGTTGCGATTTTGAAAAAGACGAAAGTCGACGGAAATAAGAAAATCGCAACTCCCCAATATGAAAATTCAACCAATAGAAAAAGATACTGCATAATTAGAATAATTAAAATCTATTAAACTAATATAAATCATGCATTGAAATTAGAGAAAATTTTATATAATGGAACAAATGAAAATGTCTAAAACATCTTATATATTAGGAGAGAGAGAGTATTTCATTTACCATTAATTTACTTTGTTTGAAATCTATGATTTTGGCTCGATGTAGTTCAGTTTTTTAACAACGACGTAAATTTATTCGTCTTTTTTTTCCTTCTAAACAACACAAATATTTTTCACATTTTGTTCTTTCATAGCAATCTTTTTCACTATTCTAGTGATCGTCAAACTTTTTTTCTTTCAAATCTAACGGTTTCTTTTGCGAGTGTGATGTCACAATAAATCAGAATCATGAAACTTTGAGGTCACAACGGATCGAAATGAGTTCACAAGTATTGGAAAGCATAACCGGATAACACTGACACACACATGTGCCACAAAAGGCTTGGGTTATAATATCTCTCGCTTTTGCTTCTACCATTGTTTAACTTTGATAACTATGATCAGTTCCAATTGGTTCGAAAACCTTTTGATACATCTAAGAAAATTAAACACAATTAAAGCAGAAAAATGTATTTGATGGTTCAGATAGTATTCGACTGACAAAGTCAATTTCTTTAACTTTTTCAAGAAGAACTAAACAACGTTTGATTTATCAATCTTTATAGTATTATTTCTTATTTCAATTTCAAAAGCACTAATGTCCGTACAATATTAGATCTCATGAATTTGTAATGCCATCTCTGAGTCTCGACCACTCATTAAGATCTTGGACGGTTGACAAAAGAATGAAACCGCGTACCAAGCTGTGTGAGCTGTTTTTTCTTCCTCTTGTTTTTTTTTATAACAAACATATTAAATTTCAGTCACTAAAAGAGATTAAGGCCAATTGTTGAATACTGAAATTTATATGTAATTCGAATGTTTATTTATTTGGTAGCATATTCATCAAATTAGAAGAGTTCAATTTGAATGAACCATACACTATTGTCAATTCGACATTTTTGAATTAACCAAAATAATAAAAACTATAGATAAATGATAAAATAAAAAAAGGTTAAATTGCGTACGTCAACAACATATGTACAAAGGACCACGAAACCCATCTTCAATATTTGGACGACTTTTAGAGAGTTTCGTCTATCACAATTCTCCTTTGTTTATCATATTTCCATTTCTATTTATAAACATTAAGTAATGATTTTTTCATTCATACTCATATTACTAAATTAAGAACTAATTGGTATAGGTTATAAATATACAAACTAAAGCTACCTCAATCCGCGGATGTCAAATGGTATTCTCTCCCAGGCACGGTTTTCGAGGCGCTAAAAGAAGCTTTCTTTTTTCGAAAAAGTAGATCTTACCCACTTTTTCGAACCAAAAACAGAAAGTTTTCCCCTCGTTCCCAACCGGTAAGCATTTCCTCCGCCGTTTCCCTGTTCTTTCTCACCGTTTTTCTTCAGGCTTTGTGGGTCCTTTGCGGTGGTTCTCTTCTCCAACGTTCACCAGACCTCAGCCTCTCAGCTCCAGTCGCCGGCTAACTTCTAAACCCCTTAGATTTGAGAATGGCGGCTGTTTTTCTCAAATTTTAGGCTCAGCTCTGTCCGGCTTTTGGGGTCTTTAGTACCCTCCATTACTGCAGTTTGCAGATCTTCCTTCTCTACTCACGCTTGTGAGTCCGCCTTTGCTCCGCTACTCCTTCTCGCTCATCTTCAGTCTTTCCAGAAGCTCCTTCTCTGTCCCTTTATAAAAGCCAGAGTACCAACCATAATGTCTCAAAGATACTCACGTTCAGAGAAAGCCAAATGGGTGGCTGGGTCCTTGAGAGTTACCCGCAAATCCCCGGTGAGAATCCCAGATAGAGACACTTCGGCTCTAGCAGTGGAGAACAGACTCACCCTCATAGGCAGAGTAACCAACCCAAAAGCTCAAAAATCAAAAGCTATAGTCGACTACTTACCACAAGTATGGAATCTAGAACACAAGGTCACAGGACGGGAACTTGGCCCTGAAATGTTCCAGTTTCGCTTTGAGACTGAGGAAGATCTCCAACTGGTGCTTCAAAAATCCCCCTACCACTACAACAAATGGATGCTTATCTTACAACGCTGGGAACCTATCATCTCAGCAGCATTCCCAGCCATCATTCCCTTCTGGATTACCATTCATAAGCTGCCAGCACTGCTTTGGGACAGTCAAACGGTTCGCACAATTGGTAAAGAAGTTGGTCCAGTTATCGGTCAGGATGCAGCTCAAGGTCGTGTCAGAGTAGAAATCAATGGTCTCCTTCCCCTGGAAAAATCAGTCTCAATCCGCCTACCGTCAGGTGAAATAACAATGGTTGAGCTAGAGTATGAAAAACTGGAAAAACACTGCTTCCACTGTTTCTCTCTGACCCATGAGAAAAAAGACTGCCTTCTGCTTAAAACACCAGAGCAGATGACTCCAAACTTGACCCGGGGAACAAGCATCAACCAATCCAACACTTTGGCCAAAATAGTAGAATCAAAGCAAGCTGAGGCTTTGCGGAAAGATAAGAGGAACACCACTAGAAGCTCCACTTATATTCGAAGGGCAGAAGTCAACAGAGCCTTTGAACTTGACATTCAAAAAGCGCCGCCTCCTAGACGACGATCCAAAGACAGAACGGATTATCGCCAGGAGTACAACAGAGACTACAACAAACACTCAAGAGGGTATGACCATGAGCATCCCCGGGATCGCCAGAGGCACTCTAGCCAAGACTTCAGATCTGGCTCACATCCCTCCCATCATCATGATCAGAGGATTAGTTCTCCTTCGAGATCAAGATACGAGGAGTATCAGAGACATGACAGGCGATATGTTCACCGCAGAAGTCCAAGCGGAAGCCACAACTACACCTCGACACAGCGAACTCAACGCTCCTCTGACCTGCACACACCACCTCCCAATCCAATAAGGGAACCACTCCTCAGCCCTGTTCAGCCGAGGCCACAACCACAGGACTCCCTGAGATCCAACTCCAATTCGCGGAGGCCAGCATTGGAGAGACTCACAGAAATAATCCCTGTGGAAGTCCCTTTTCAAGGTGGAGGCGGTAGTACTGGATCTAGTAGATTGCAAGATGTGGCTATTCTCTATGATGGAGAAAGCAACCAGGGAAATCCCTTTGCGTCATTCCCCCTTCAAAGCGCCTTCCTCTCAGTAAATCCAGATGCAACCCCTAGCAATTCTCACTTCCCGCCTACTGAAGTTAACAATCCTCCCTCTCCACAACAGACAGAGCTCCCCCAGCTACGGGTGCCTGCTTCCCTGCGCTTGGGACCAGGTAGAGAATCAACAAGAACAACTCCTTTGGCAACTTCAAAGGCCAAAGCTAAAGGCCCCCAAAAGGCTAAGGCCCAATCAACTAAAAGAGGGCCAAGAAAACCTGCTCAGACGGCAGCCCAAAAAGCTGCCTCAAAAGCCTCTACTTCCAATCCAGCTCCTAAACGCAGAGTTAGCACCAGAGCTCCACCAAAACCAAGAGGAACTAACAGCCCATTAGTGGGAGTCAGTCTCAGAAAGAGAAATACCACCAGAGCAACTAATCCATCGAGGAAACGATTGTGCACAGAGGCTAACTCTGTATTTGGAACAGAGACTGCTTCAGGCGAAGTCAACTTTGCGGCATCTGGTTCAAATCCCACGGGGATTCAACGTCAAGAACCAATTCAGGACACCCTGGATTTTCGGTGTCCAACCGCTCCTCTTCCTTAGTCATGGCGAGCTGGAACTGTCAAGGCATGAGGAACGCCTTTACAGATCGCCGGTTCCGGGAGTTCAAATTTGATATTTCCCCGGATATTTTGTTCCTCATGGAAACTAAAAACCAAGATGAATATATTGAAAGAATTGGCAAGGATCTCAATTTTGCAAATTCCTTTACAGTTCCACCTGTGGGTCTAAGTGGCGGATTGGCTTTGTTTTGGAAAGAAGACATCTCCTTGGAAATTCTTGACTCCTCAGCAAATCTCATTGATGTCAAACTCAAACACAAACAGTCTTCCTTTCACACTACCTTCATCTACGGTCCTCCTCAAAGAGAAAACCGAAGCGCCTTCTGGGACCAATTGGTCTCCTTAGGAGAAACCAGAGACTCAGCTTGGGTGCTAACTGGTGACTTCAACGACATACTTGACAATTCGGAAAAAATCGGTGGTCCTCCCAGACATGAGGGATCCTTCCTCCACTTTAGAAGCTTCGTCTCACAGCATGGACTCTGGGACGTCAAACACACAGGTGATGCCCTCTCTTGGCGCGGGATGCGTTATGAGCACTTTGTCAGATCAAGACTGGATAGAACCATTGCTAATGCAGCCTGGACAGAAATGTTTCCTTCGGGCTGGTGCTCTTATCTCCGCTATGAAGGTTCCGACCATCGTCCTCTAGTCACTTTCTTTGACACTTCTAGAGCTAAAAGACGAGGACTCTTCAGATTTGATAGGAGACTCCGCCAAAATCCAGAGGTCAGAGATTTAATAGATGAATGTTGGCATAACCCACGCCTCAAGTCAGTTCTAGCTAAAACAAATGCTTGCCGTCAGAGTCTAGTCAAATGGTCAAAAGCTCAATTTGCCAACAGTGTTCAGTTAATCAAAGAAAACCAGGAAGCTCTGGAACTAGCCCTTTCGAATCCGGTTCCAGACAGGGACAGTATCACGGCTCTTACTGCTAGCTTGGAAAAGGCTTATAAGGATGAAGAACTTTTCTGGCGTCAAAGATCAAGAATTTTGTGGCTTCAAGGAGGTGATCGCAACACAGGCTTCTTTCATGCCTCTACCAGAAACAGGCGAGCTCAAAACAGACTCTCAGTGATGGAAGACGAAGCTGGAAACATAGCTCACGATGAAGACCAAATCGCCGCAACAATCTCGGAGTACTATCAGAACCTCTTCAAGGCAGATCCACTGGTGGATCTCTCTGTTTTGGAGGACATTCAGCTACCACGGGTATCTCAAGCAATCAACGATGCCCTCATTAAACTCCCTGACAAAGAGGAAATACGAAAAGCAGTGTTTGGTATACACCCGGATAAAGCTCCCGGCCCGGATGGCTTCTCTGCTGGTTTTTATCACTCTTATTGGGACGTTGTTGGAGAAGACATTTGCAAAGAAATCCAAGACTTCTTTGTTTCTGGTTCTCTGCCTTTGAGAATCAATGAAACCCATGTATGCCTAATTCCAAAAAGTTTGGGTCCAAAGAAAGTCTCTGATTATCGTCCGATAGCGTTATGCAATGTTACATATAAAATTGTGGCAAAAATTCTAACGAGTCGCCTCCATCCCTTTCTCGACTCCTTGATCTCAAAACATCAATCAGCCTTCGTCCCGGGAAGAGCCATTTCGGATAACGTCCTCATCACTCATGAAATATTACATTTCCTCAGAATCTCCAAAGCAAGGAAGAGATGCTCAATGGCGGTTAAAACCGACATGAGTAAGGCTTATGACCGGATTGAATGGAGCTTTCTTAGAGCGGTACTCACAAAGATGGCATTCCATGAAAGATGGATCACTTGGGCCATGGAATGCGTGAGTTCGGTCTCCTACTCCTTCCTAGTGAATGGAGCCCCGCAAGGCCAAGCTCTTCCTACTAGAGGACTTCGTCAAGGCGACCCGCTATCTCCATACCTCTTCATTCTTTGCACCGAAGTCCTTTCCGGGCTTTGTAGGAAAGCACAAGAAGACGGCTCTCTCAAAGGAGTGAAGGTGGCGAGGGGCAGTCCTCCAATCAACCATCTCCTCTTTGCGGACGACACGATGTTCTTTAGTCGCTCCGACCAAAAGAGTTGCCAAGTTCTAGCCTCTCTCATCTCCAAATATGAACGAGCCTCGGGACAAAGCATCAACTACAACAAATCCTCCATTACCTTCTCCTCTAAAACGCCACCCACGACCAAAGTAAGAGCCAAAGCTGTCCTTAAAATACCAAAGGAAGGAGGCATTGGCAAGTACTTAGGTCTTCCGGAACACTTTGGACGTAGGAAGAGTGATATCTTTACCTCCATTGTGGACCGTATCCGAACTAAAGCTCAAGGATGGGCAAACCGGTTTCTATCCGGAGCAGGAAAAGAGATACTCCTAAAAGCAGTCCTTGCGGCCATGCCCACTTATGCCATGTCAAGCTTTAAGCTTCCGGTTTCTCTTTGCAAAAGAATCCAATCCGCTTTAACTCGGTTTTGGTGGGATAACAATCCGGAAAAACGGAAAATGTGTTGGGTATCTTGGGATACTCTCTCAAGACCGAAAGGAGCAGGCGGTTTGGGTTTTAGAGAAATTGAAAATTTCAATGATGCACTGCTAGGGAAACTAAGTTGGAGAATCCTAAAGAATCCTCAGTCCCTTCTGGGACAGGTCCTACTAGGAAAATATTGCCACAACAAATCATTCATGAACTGCTCTCTACCTTCAAATCCTTCCCATGGCTGGCGAGGAATCATGGCAGGACGAGAGGTGCTAAGGAAAGGCCTGGGATGGATTGTTGGGGACGGGAAGAGTATAAAAGTCTGGGAAGATGCTTGGCTATCTACGTCTTCTCCCATCTCGATTGCGGATCCCCCTCTCCTCGTGCAGGAGAATCTAAAAGTCAGTGACTTCCTCCATCCTGAAGATAACTCCTGGGACGTGAACATGATTCGCACTCATTTACCCCTCCTAGAACCTACCATCCGCAGTCTCCGACCAAGTAGCAGGAAAACAGAGGATGTTCTTGCTTGGTTGCCAAACAGTTCAGGGATCTATTCATCGAAGTCTGGCTATAATCTCATCAAGAAGAATAGGACTGATACCCAGGGCTCAACTTTCAATTGGTCAAAGTTTGTTTGGCAAACGAAAACCTCTCCAAAACTCAAGAACTTTCTCTGGAAAATCGCTTCTGGGGCTCTTCCCGCAGGTGATCAGCTGGCTTCTAGAGGGCTACAAATAGATTCAGCATGTAAGAGGTGTGGAGAGAAGGAGACAATCCTGCATTTATTGGTCCAGTGCCCATTTGCAGCTTCAGTTTGGAATCTGGCCCCTCTCACAAGACTGCCACCCTTTCAGAATCTTCTGGACCCTAAAGCCATGCTTATAGGGTTTCATCAGAGCATTAACCTCCCTCCAACTGGACTTTCTCATACGGCCCTCTTCCCTTGGGTGCTATGGAACCTTTGGTCAGCCAGAAACCAGCTTCTCTTTGCAGACAAAACTTTTTCAGACTCTGACACTATTCAGAAAGCGATCAAAGATGCTATTGAATGGCATAATGCCCAAACCCGTAAGGAGACAGAGACCTCTTCAGCTACTCCAGTAGCTCGAGCCACTCCTCTCCCCTCAGCGTCGATGTTGTGCATAGAGACAGATGCATCTTGGTTAGAACCAACGAGGTTCTGTGGGCTAGGATGGGTAGGCCGAGACTCTCAGGGCACCATTCTCTTTAAAAACTCTGCCACGGAACAATTTGTTGCCTCTGTCATCCAGGGAGAAGCTTTAGCTATCAAAGCGGGACTTCAAGAAGCGACTCTTCACGGTTTCAGCACCGTTGCAATCAAGTCAGACTCTAAGACACTCATCGAGCTGCTCAGATCGGGCAAGGTTACTAATGAGCTAGTTGGTCTTCTACATGACATTAGGGGTCTAGCGGCTAATTTAGTATCTGTAACGTTTCAGTTTATTCCTCGCTCTGCAAATACTGTTGCAGACGAGATGGCAAAAAGTGCTTTAAGCACCCTTGTATCCTCCTCCCTTGGAGACTCTCTGTTCTAATTTCAATAATATTTGCTGTTGACCAAAAAAAAAAAAAAAAAAGAACTAATTGGTATAACATAAACTATATATATGTTGCTCTTTTTTATAGTCTTCATTGTAAAAAAGAAAAGTACATGTTTTGACTTCAAACTAATCATAACTAAAAGTTTTGACAAAACTGATTAAATAGGAAATAACCAGTGAATAGGTCCATGACCATCAAAATTGATAGTAAAACAACTATATATATGATGAACCGGTCTAACTAATATAGGTTTAAATGGCAAAATGTTTGCCCAATTTTCAGTCTCTTTGATCAGATTGGGATTGGGGTGGACCTCATATTTCAATCCTAATTCAGATAACTATCCGAAATCTAACTATTATTTCACATCACATTATGTAAATGTGTAGTCAAAAACACACTAGTACGATTTATAGTGTACCTTCATATATACGGCATTAACTTGTTTTCAACCCCTTAAAAGATGTCATTCAACATCTACAATTATCTTTGCCGAACAAAAAGGTCAAATATAAAAGACAAACCTAAAAAGCAATAACATGAATTGGGTCACCACAACTTTTAAAATAGGTTAGCATTTAGTACTTTTGACTTTACAGAATCAAAACGCATCCAAACACTATACGTAAGCTTGTGGAATATAATTAGTGACTAATGGTACCATATTTGGCACTTTATATAAAGTTACCATTACTGTATTCTATCAAGACCATGTAAATTAGAATACGACTGATTATTTAAATTATTGTGTATAAACATTAGTAAATCACTAAGTTCTAATAAGACCATATCAATCAGAATAGAACTTGTTCATTTAAATGATTGTATATTTGTATCATATATATGCATCATTTCCTCCATTTAATATTTTCGAATATCTACATTCTAGTCAAGTCAACATGTTGCAATGTAAGGAAGGAAAAGTTCAATAGTATTGAATTTAAGTCTTGGGAATCACCAGATCCCTGTACAGTTGGAATTTTTAGTCATAAAATTTGTCTAGAAATGAAACCATAATATATGAGGTTCAAATTCTATTAGTTTTGGATTCAATGGGATTATTTAACACGTAGAAATCCTACCCGAGTTAAAGATAACTTAATTTCCTCTTTTGTATGGGTTAAAAAATTGTTTCAGATTTACTTATTTCATATGAAGAAATATTACTGAATCATATCAAAATGTCTTTTTTTTTGTGTGTCTGATTTTGGTCCAGATAGGTTCTGACATTTTTTAATCACTCTTACGCCATTAGATTATATCTTTTTCCACAATGACTATTATGATGATTATGGACAAGGCCAATTCAGCTTAGTCAACAAGTTTAAGCATGCACTTAGATGTCGGTATCACTATACAAAGTCTACACAACATGGTGTGTAATTGGTTGTAGCTGAGTCAGCTTTTAATTTAATTTGAAAAGTCTTTATCTACACAAAGTCGCAAACTATTAACAGTAATATGAAAGAAAAAAAAATCTTTTTACATGAACTTTACACACCTTCAAACAATTTCACATATAACATACATAAATCAAGTAATTATAATTTTAAAACTTAGGATTTTACATTCTTTTTGTCGAACTATATGTATAAATTATAATGCATATAAATGAAAATAAAATTACAAGAAAGAGATTAACCACACGAGGTACATTTTTGTAGGCAACATATGTGTAATATATTCAAATAGTACGATTTGCTTCCAAACATATGACGTTTTAACAAATTACACATTTATTAAAAAAATCAATAAAATGGCTAAATTATCTCTGTTTCATAATTAATGAACAAGTAACACATATTTTTTCAATTTTATTACAAGATATTTATTATTTTAATCACTAAATAACCACTTTGTATGTTTTTTCAAGACTATAAATACTCTTAAGTGATCAAGTAAACAATCATGCATACAGTCGTAACCATGGTGGATCTACGGCGTTAAACGGTCGCCAATGATCTGATTTGGCTGGAGATGAATATTGTGCTAAAAACCGAAAATGATGAGAGAAAAAAAGAGATCGACACGTTTTCCCGTAACACAAGTGCTTGGTCTACCAATTTTAATGCTCTTTGTCTCCTCGTCATGTACTCTTTTACAGCTGTTGAAACCCACACCCATTTATTTTACATATACACATACTTCATTTTATGTAATATACAGATGGTGTGATTTTTGTAATTTGTAATATTATTACATAAAATGAAGTAATAGTAATATTATTTATGTATGTTACAAATTACAAAAATCACACCATCTGCATAATATTATTTTCTTGTTACATAGCCTTTTTATTTCATTTTATTGGTGTTTACGATATTGACACATACATTAATTTTTTTATATTAAAAAATATTACTATTTGTTATCTACTTAAAAAAAAATCAACCAATGAAAACAAATTATAAAATTTTAAAAGTCAAAAGTAAGAAATAAGAAATTTTATAATAAAAATTGGAGACATAAAATGATTCAACAAAATTTTCTTTAAACATCAGTTATCATGAAACAAAAAGAGTATGTATTTTTGTGACAAAAGCTATTTTCCCTTTTTTTTAACCAAGACATCATTTATATATACTCCTTCCGTTTTTTATATTTGATGTTTAAGGTTTTTGCACACCAATTAAGAAATTTTTTAATTTGTATGTATTTAAGCTAAAACATCATTCATTATTTACGCTAATACGATTCAACCAATAGTAACACAACCTGCCGAATATAAATCGTCGAAATTAATATAAAAATTTAGTTAAACTTGCATTAAAAGTTGAAAAAATCATCTAATCTAAATTTTTTTTTCCTAAAACAGGATAAATAAATAAAAACGGAGTGAAAATAACATGGTAACTTTCAAAAAATTTGACGTGATGCTGATCTTCAAGACTTCAAGTTAGCCAAGTATAATAAGAGAACAAATATATCACTAAAATATAGTTTTCAAAGAGTTTCAATCAAATTACTAGTTAACCTAAAATCTCCCACCTGACTAGTTCGTATAAAACTCTTTGAAAAGGAAATAACATTTCGTGTCATGTGACTAGAATTAAAATTCCAAATAAATAATTTGTCCAATTATAACTTTAATGAAAAGAAGAGGAAAAAAGTGAATGAGTCCAAAGCAAAAGACTTCTACAAATAGGAAAACAGAATGAGAGTTGAAGCACTTCAAAGCTTTTAAGCTCTCTCTCTCTTTTTTTCTCTTCTCTTCTCTTCTCTATCTGAAGAATACTACTAAGCAAGTTTTAGTTCGATGGAAGAAACTCAACAACAACAACAAGAACTGACGCAAGAACAGATAATGGAGTTCAAAGAGGCCTTTTGTCTCTTCGACAAAGATGGTGATGGTTGCATCACTGCTGATGAACTTGCCACTGTGATCCGCTCATTGGATCAGAACCCGACCGAACAAGAACTTCAAGATATGATCACTGAGATCGACTCTGATGGCAACGGCACCATCGAATTTTCGGAGTTTCTCAACCTCATGGCTAACCAAATCCAGGTTCAATTCTAAAAAGTTACATCAATGAAGCTATTTGTTTTTAATATTTATTGATTAATTTTTTTTTTTTTGGTTATAGGAAACTGATGCAGATGAAGAGCTGAAAGAAGCATTCTAAGTGTTTGACAAAGACCAAAATGGTTACATCTCTGCCAGTGAGGTAAGCATATAATCCACCCTTTCTTCTTTTTTGCCTTTTAATTTTCTTAGGCTTCTAATTTTTTTTGAATTATATACAAAATTTAATTCATATGTATTTACTTATGAGTTATTGTGTCTAGTTTCGTTACATGAACCAATTTTTCAAAAAAAAAGTTTTAAATTTTTTGCTCTACTTGAGTGTTACACAAGCTCGGAATATAGATTCTGTATTTTCTTATTGTTTTTATCAGCAATCATGTGCATTTAATTAGAAAAGAGGGGTTAAAAAATCTTTTGCATTAATGAAAATATCAGATCATAAGGCTAGACGATATTTCGAGTTTTACAAGAGATCTTTAGGTGTCTTTATCTTAATTTAGAGAAGAAATTAACAAAAAAATTTAGATTTATTTTTGCATCTTTGTATACTTTCTGTTTTGATTTATTTAAGAAAGCCTTTTAACAAAAAATTTAGAGAAGAAATTGACAACAAGGTATGCTGATTATGTTTTCTTAGAATATTAAAAAGTGTGTGTGTGTTGCGTCGTAGAAAGTTAATTTGTTTGAGGCTTCGAGCTAGCTGGCAATATGACTTTTTGGAGATAACGAGGTCAAAAGAAATATTTAAAAATATTGATAACATTTAGTAAAATGTGTGTGTGATTCTATTGGTTTATTGGGCAGAGCATATGTCTCACCTAGTGTAAATCATATGTTTATATATTCTTATCACACCCATAACTTTTTTTCTTTTCCATTATCTATTTACATTTATTTATACAATATAATGATAGTTGATCATATTCACTATCTTCTTTGTTTATGAATTTCATATCTTTGTTTTTCTTGTGCATTGGCCATGATCAATGCTTAAAGATAAACATCATTTTTTAGTACATAGTGCTTATTATATTTATATATAATCTGTGTAATTTTGATACATAATTACAGTTGAGGCATGTGATGATCAATCTTGGGGAGAAGCTAACAGATGAAGAGGTTGATCAAATGATAAAAGAGGCAGATTTGGATGGTGATGGCCAAGTCAATTATGATGAATTTGTCAGGATGATGATGACCAATGGTTAAATCCTAAATCAATTTTACTCTTCATTGTATTTTTTTTTTGTAACATCACTCTTCATTGTATTATTATCTTTTATAAATTGGTTTAATCCTTTTTTTTTTCTTTTTGGAATATCGCATTTTCACTTTTCCAATTAAATTAATTTTAAGCTTTTATATTCAATTGAACAAGAAGATTTTTCTTTTTGGCGTGTGAATTCTAAATATGTATCTGATGTATAGTGTGTTTCTTTCAAAATTTATTTAGCATTTGTAATGAAAAAGTTAATCAAGATTTTTTTT